CATTGTTGTTTTGGCGGGTCCGGGCTGGGGATTCGAACCCGCCACCTCAGGTGTACGTGGCTGGCGCCTTAGCCAGGTTGAGTCACAGGCACCGGAGCCACTAATTTAGTCTTTCAAGCATGATGACAATGACGATGATGACAACATAATCTTTTGAACACAGAGAAGCCCTAGCAGAGAGTCTTTCTATCGGAATGCTGTCTTTATTTTTTTTTTTGGAGACACAGTCTCACTTGGTCACTCTCAGTGCTGTGGTGTTTTTAGCTCACAGCAACCTCAAACTCTTGGGCTCAAGCGATTCTCTTGCTTCAGCCTCTCAAATAGCTGGGACTACAGGGGCCTCCCACAATGCCTGGCTATTTTTTTAGAGATGGGGGTGGTCTTGCTCTGACTCAGGCAATCCACCTGCCTCAGCCTCCCAGGTGCTGGGATTACAGGCATGAGTCACTGCGCCTGGCTCTTCTCTTTGTTTTTAATTTTTCTTGATCAATATGAACTCCAGATAGAGGATAAGGAACATTGGGGAATTCTAGTCAAATATTCCAAGTTTGTTTTGGGCATTATTCTACTTCTTTTCTACCAGCAAAGGCTTACCTCCGCCCTGCTCTCATCCACACACCTTGCTCTAGGTGGTAACTAAGCTGTTCTAGAGGCAACCAGGGTCAATACCCCTTAGTGACAATGTCCAGTCTTCTTCAGTGCCTCCTGCTTTCGGTTCCCTGCCTTTCACTTCTGCTTCACTTCAAACCATTTTTCCTATGTACTTTTTAACTCCTAATTCTTCTCCCTGCCCACATTTTCCAAATTTTGCCCAGTGATTTCAGGAAAACGTTTCTTTTTCTTTGGGTCTAAAAATAAAAACAAATCAATTACTTAATTGATTAGTAACTGTACACACTTATACTCAGGAAAAGGTATAAGTCTTAAAGTAGTATCAACTATAACAAAGAACTAGTGTTCTAAAAATATCCAGTGATTCCCTCATCCATCTCCTCTAATTACATTAGCATTCCCCAAGTATTTGTTCATTTTTAATTATTAGTCTTAAAACTTTATTTCTAATTTTCATTGAAATATACAGCATTTGGGCTCGGCGCCTATAGCTCAACCGGCTAAGGCGCCAGCCACGTACACCTAAGGTGGCGGGTTCGAATCCCCAGCCCGGACCCGCCAAA